AAAAACTCACTGACTTAGTCAATAATCATCTAGAAATGAAAACAATGAAGATGGAGAATTACTGGTGTTGTTAACTACAAATGATTTCACAAGTCATAAAGATAGCACTAAAGATTAGTGATTCTAGTGCTAATTTTAGTTTTATGATGAACTGATGTTGAAGATGATGGCCACCAACTATATACTAAATAAAAGATCACTAACATTTTTGAAAAACCAAATTAATGTCAGAAGCTGATTAAAAAATCAAGTATACATGAGAGATGGAAATATCAACAATGCTCCTAAGAAAATTAAATATTCAGAACAGAGGTGTCAAGCAAAAATTAAAGGCATCTGCTCAAAGTATTAAGGGGGGGGTGGGTTGAGAGGGAAGGGTTAATGAAAAGCAGAGGGAGTCTAAAATTAATTGCAGAAAATGGAAAAAATAGGCAGAGAAACAAAAATTTTGTTGAATTGAGGGACCAATTTAGATTAGTAATCACGAGATTTCCCAAAGCAATCCTTAAACTATAAAAATTCCTTTTTCAATATAAACTGCTTCTCAAATTGTCAAATAATTTAAAATGCAATTAACAAAATTAGAATGAGCTACTAATTATTTTAATAATTCTTATTAAAGAAAAAAAAGCAAGTACTCTAGACCATGAATCTACTACTTATTAGCTGTTAAATCTTTAGTTAATCTCCTGATCTTCCCAGGCCTTTGTCTTTATGACTATACAATGTGGATAATTCTATCTTCCTCGTGTATTTATTATTTCAATTGAGACAACAAATGTATAATGATACAAATCCTGGCCAAGAGGACGCCAAGAGACGTCAAGGTTTGATAAAGGTTAGTTTCATTCTAATACCTATACTGCCTGCTGGTACAACTGGGTAACACCTCTGCCATGATAGCTAATATGAGGAAAGGGAAGAAGGACCCTGAACACAGGCTCTTTCCACTAAGACACCCTGCCTCCCAAGAAACAGTATCTTAGTGACACCACTATTGATAAGAGCAAGGGGGAGCAGAACAGGATTACCCAAAGAAATCCTTACACCCCAAAATGTGCTACTTTGGCAAGTGAACTGCTTTGAGCTGAAGACAAGACTCAGAAGATACAGAAAAAGCTCTTCATTACTTCCCTCAAGTATCCAGAAGAATTTAGAGATGGGTTGTACCAGGAATAGAGCTATTACCAGATAATTTTTCAGATCAGACTTAACCTGTGTGGCAGATAAGTTAAACATTCATTTAGCAAACATTTGCTATTCTCGATTTCCTGATTGTTAGCCTCCCCTTTGAAGTCTCAGACCCTAAACCCCTTTGTTCTTAGCTCAGGACAATATAGAAGTCTCAACAGTCTGACTGCCTTTGAGTCCACATTGTTTATGGGTCCCCCATTTATAGAAGATTAAAGTTATTGAATTTCATGTCAATTTAATTATTAGCCCAAAGAACCTAGAAGGAAAAATTTTCCCCCCAACAAGGGCATAATCATGTCACTTCTGCAATGTCAGAAAACTTACTTTGTGACAAATAAGTTTTTTTGGATAACATCACTGAGATGATGATAAAGAAGGTCCCTTTCTTTGCACCCAAGAGGAATATGTTAGAGTTAACCAGAAAGACAATATACCTAGAGAATCACATGGCTCTGACCGAGACTAAAATTAACCCCTTGGATATCAGAGAGCAGCACAATCTGCACAAAAGCAATAATAATCAAAACATTTTGGCACTGGGAAAAAAACAGAAACACAAGCCAACAAACAGAATAGAAAGCCCAGAAATAAACTCACACAAATACAGTTAATCTTTGACAAAAGACCCCAAAAGCTTTTCTTTAAATTGGGAAAGGAAAGCCACTTCAACAACAAACTGTGCTGAGAAACTTGGACAAATGAAAAATAAAAAAAAAAGGAAACATCACTATTTAACTGCCTATGCAAAAATTGACTCAAAATGGATTAAAGACTTAGATATAAGATGTGAAATCTAAAACACACAAAAGAAAGCATAGGCAATCCCTTTCTCAACATCAACCAGAGATATTTTTGGGGAAACAACTCAAAAGGGAAGAGAAATAATGTAAGTTGGTGCAGCTTCTATGGAAACCAGTTAGGAGATTCTTCGAAAAACTGAAAATGAAAATACCATATAATCCAGCAATACTGCTTAGAGGTATTTTTTACTCCAAGAATATTTTACTCCAAGGATATGAAAACACTAATATGAAAAGATTTATGCATTCCTATTTTATAGCAACATTATTCACAATAGCCAAGATGTGTTACCTACATCTAGTGGTCCACTGAAATAAGGCTGATTAAAGAAATTGTGTAATATATACTCAGTGGACTGCTACACAGTTACTTAAAAAGATGATAGTGACTTTTGGGCCAAAATTGATGAATCTTGAGGTGATTATGCTAAGTGAAATAAATCAGAAAGTGATAGTTACATTTGTGGATTAAAATAACCAAAGAAAACAAGTGACAAACAGACACAAAAAAATTTTTGTTTCTGAAAAAATATAGTGGTCACCAGAGGGAATAAGAGAGGTAGAAGGAAATAAGGGAAGGAAGATAATAGGGTATTGGCACTGGAGTTTTGGTGGAGAGCGAGTGAAATATGTGCATATATGGAGGTGTGAAGTTGTGCTCACAAAACTATATAGTTATGTAAATGATTGGTAAATCAATAAAACTTGCCAAGTGATACATGAAAAAATGTTCCTCATCCCTTATTAACAGGGATATGTAAATCAAAATCATAATGAGATAACCCTCTGTAAGAATGGCCCATATCAAAAAACATCAGAAACAAGTGTTGGTGAGGGGTATGGAGAAAAGGAACCCTCACACAATTGTTGATATCCAGCCCCTAGAGTATGGATTGAAGTTTCTCAAAATAGTAAAAACAGATCAACCACCTGGTCCCACAACTCTACTCCTTGGTATCTAGACAAAGAATATGAAAACCTTAATTCAAAGGGATATATGCAATCCTATGTTCGTTGCAGCACTGTAATAGCCAAGCAATAGAAATAACCTAAGTGCCCAAGGAAAGATGAGTGGATTAAAGAGATGTAGTATGTATATACACACAACAGACTATATTAAGCTAGCAAAGGAGATTAAATCTTGCCATTTTGACAGTCTGAATGGAACTGGAGGGATAACGCACAGTAATAGGTCAGGAGGAGTAAGTCAGAATCAAATGCTGGAAAATTTGATATTTTCTGGAATATAAAGAAACAAATCTGGAATATAAAGAAACAAAAAAACAGACAGCAAAACTAAATCAAAACAAACCCTTGAAATTTGACTACAGAATTGAGGCTACCAGAACGGGAGGGTAGGTGATGAGGAGCAAAGAGTGGACTAGAGTGGAGAATTATGAGTGCTTTGGTGATGGGCGTGGTGCGGTAATATACATCTGAAGAGATGTGAACCTGTACTCCTAAATCATACACAGTGTTGTAAACCAAGCATTCGCTCAATAATAAATAATGCAATTTAAAAGTTACAGAAGTAGCCATTCATTTATGACATGTTAAAATCACCCATCCCTCTTATCAAATAGTTTTTCATTTTACAAACTTTGGTATTATTTCTTTTCTACCATTTTGATTTCATTCCCCTGACTCTAAATATATCACAAAATATTAAGAATTACAGAAATTAAGGAAATATTTATACCTATGCATACATACATGTTAATAAAAAATTTCATAGGTAAATTCACATTTTAATATATATAACATTTTAAACCTTGCTATAGTGACAACATGGACATTAAATAAATATAAAAGATATGACACTTTCAGAAATGTTAACTGCTTCCGTCTTACACTGAAATTGTCCAGTCCAATCAGTTTTCTATAGAAATATTCATCTTTATTTAGAGCTGACCTGGAAATCCTTAGATACTTCAATTATACGATAATCCCTTATTTGATATAAACAAGTATCTTATTTTTTTAATAGCATAAGTTTTTATCTTTATAGTTAAACCACAAGTTAAAATTTAATTGGCAGAAATAAAACTAATGTCCAGTGTTAGAAGTTAGAAAAATAGTTCCCTTTGGAAAAGAGAGAGAGAACAGTGACTGTAAGTAAAAATGAAGAGACTTCAGGAAAATGAAAATGATGGTAATGTCCTAATTCTTGACCAGGGTTTTGATTTTACAGATGTATTCACATTGTTGTAGTTCATTCTATGCGTGCATATATGAATTTTTCATTTTTCATTATGTTTATAATAATCAAAAGCTTATTTTCAGATATATCAGACTTTCAGTTCTATTTTTTAAATTACAACAATGAAGAACCAGAAGTCAAATAAGTAACTTTCTGATTTAGACACTACTTAAATAACTGTATATTTGTAACATTATTTTTGTCCAATAGAAAGGCACAAAATGAAATTCCTGGTTTAAATGACATGAATAAATTCTTAAAAAATCTATTTTGGTCCATTACAAATGAGAATAATATTGAATATAATAAAAATGCAAAAGAACTGATTTTTAAGTCAAATTTCTTGATTCTACTACATCAATAATTTTATGTTTCTTCTAAATCAGAAATTAAGCATTTGGAAAATGATAACTTAAATGAAATCTCAAGTCAAAAAGTTTTTTTTACAGAGTGATAACTTTAGATTCTGGGGTCAGAATGATTAAAAATTGGATCCAAACTATACCATTCACTAGTTTTGTTATCTTCAATAAATTATTTCAGCTATTTGTAAAATGTAAATCATAACAATACCAATTTACAGAGCTTTTGAAAGGCTTAAATGAGTAATATACCTTACATAAAGTAAGTATATGCAATATGTATTAACTATGTCTACATATACACATTATATAAAAACATGTTAGAAATCTAAAAATCTATTTTAGCAAAATTAAATTAAAAATTAAATTAAAAAGATCAAAGTTAAATGCTTATATGTATTATTATATAATTTCACACTAAAAAAGAAGCATTATTTTTACTACCTGAGTCTCCACACCCTGCTCCAGTAGGCGCTTAGCTTGATTTTCCACTTCAAGTCGAGCTCTTGCAATAAAAAGTAGATCATTTTCTATTACTTCTATTCCAGAAAGGTCTATTCCTTGAGACAGATAATCTATTAAAAAAAATACACATACACACACATTTAAATATTTTAATACAAATAAATATCAAGATGTAAAGGCATCTTCAAAATATTAGACTTTCATTGAACATAATTTCCTTTCAAAATCCCTATCTTAAAAAATATGACTGTGAAACCTTCAAAGCCTCTAAATCAATTACTCTGTTTCAGGAAAAAAATAATAATCTTTAAAAAGAAAAAAACAAGTAAATACATTTGCGCAGGTTGATATTTACCATAACACCAATAAAGAGTTGTATAGACTTTTAACAGGTGTATAGCTCAAATGAGCTAATAGACATAGGAATGTTTTGTAAACCACCATGACAAACATGTAAATTATTAGTTTCATAAACGATGTAGTAGTTGCTAAATTTTGTTATTTTGATGAAGGGGGAGGAAAAACAGAGAGGTAGAGCAGAGAATACTGAATTTAGTATTACAAAATATAAAAAAAAAAACCCATAAGGTTAAAATACGTACTTTTCTAAACAATCCCTAGTTGACATTACTGCTTAAACTATTTACAATATAGCCTCAGTCTTAAGTAATAAATTCCTGTGGGTGAATCTTAACATTTTAAGTCCAAAGCACTTCTAGGGGCATGTTGATCTTTCTTGTTCTTCAAAACTCATGGAAATGTATTTCCAAAACCCTTACTTTTTTTCTGTCTCTCACTGTAAGATAGGGGAAAACCTTACTATTAAAGGAGACTTATTTTCCTTTCCTAAGAATTTCTCTGTTTCAGCCAATATGAAAAATTTCCCAGAGCTAAAAGAAAGACTATATTTTCTATCTTTCCCCTGGGCACAGTTTTTCTTTTCCAGACTTTCTAACTACAGTGCTAGTCATAGGACTCTATACTCTATATATGAATTCAAACAAAACCTTCGTTTTTGTCCTCAGAAGATATTTCAGGTGCTTTATTTTGTGCCTACCTTCTAATTAGTATCTAACCAGAAAAATCAGTATCCATCCATCAAGATGTGTATAAAGGTCTCATAGTATTGAAAGAATAGTGAGACACTATGCTTAAATATATTTTTCTCAATAATTGAGAAAAGCACTAAATGAAACCAGCCAGGATTAAAAAAAAAAAAAATTGAACACCACTATAAACCAAGGCAATCTAGCTGACATCTATCTACAGGGCATGCCACTGAACAAAAACAGAACATTCATTCTGTTCAACTACACATGGAACCTTTACCAAAACAGATCATATCCCAAGTCATAAAACAAACATTTTAAATTAAAAAAAAACTAAAATGACCCAAAGTATGTTCTATGATCACAATAGGATCAAACTAAAAATCAGTAATAGAAAATAACTGAATTTTTTAACTATTTGGAAATTATACAAGACATTTCTAATCAGTCAATGGATCACAAATGATCTCAGAGGAATTTTTTCTTTAATATTGAACTGAGGAGCCTCCCTGGTGGAGCAAGGAGTTAAGACGCAATCTATGAAGCTATCAGAGCCTCTGCAGCAAGAGTTCGACTCTCTGGCCATCCAGGAAGCAGCCCACATGGCTCATCAGACCTCTCCTGACTCGCCCGTTACTCCCCTCAGCAGTGTACTTCGGTCAATCTGCCTGTTCTGTTCCCCACTCTGTCTCTGGTGAATCCTCTCACCCCCCACACCTCTTGTTTATAACCCAGCTCTTGTATGCATAAATAAATAAATCTTTTTAAAAAAATATACTGAACTGAGTGAAAATGAAAATACAACATTGAAACTATGGGATTTAACAAAGGAAGCATCAGAGGGAATTTAATAATACTAAATGTAACACAATTTTTAGAAAAAAATATACAATAAAATATTACTATTATAAAAAGAAAATCTTGCATTTTTGTGACAACACATATAGAATCTGAGTGCCTTATGCTAAGTGAAATAAGAGAAAGACAAAAACAATATGATTTCACTAATATGTGAAATCTTCAAACAAACAAATAAAAACAAGCTCATAGATAACAGAACAGATGGGTAGTTGTCAGATGCAGAGGTAGGAGGGTGAAATGGGTAAAGATACTGCAAACTTCTAATTATAAAATACTTAAGTCATGGGAATGAAATGTACAGCATGGCAACTATAGTTAATAATATTGCATATCTGAAAGTTGCTAAGAAAGCAGATTATCAAAAATTCTCATCACATGAAAAAAACTAACTATGTGTGATATGAGTATTAACTAGACTTCTTGTGGTTGATTATTCTGCATTACAAATATTGAATCAGTATGTTGTACATCTAAAACTAATGTTATATGTTATACCTCAATTTAAAAAAAGGGGGGTAGAGAGAAGATAAATGATTAGGAGAGAAAAAGAAGATTATACAATGACCTCACAGCATTGAAAGGACAGTAGGATACTATGACTAGTTCTCCAACTTAGAAGAAACCATCAAACCTCATAAAAGATGATCTGAATAAATTTGTAACTATTTAAAAAACTTAATTTGTAGTTCAAAGCATTCTGAATAGGAAACCTATAAGCGCAGATAGTTTTACTATCATTGAGAAAAAAGACAATACAACTCTATACCACAAAAGAGGGAACAATTCCCAAAAGTAGACCAAAAAAAAGAATACATCTCCCAAGAGGTTAGACACAAAAATTTCCAAATTATCAAGTCCTATTACCCTGATACAAAACCAAGGCAAAGCTATTAAACAAAACAATTTTATAGAACCACTTCCCTCTAAAACATAAATGGTAAACTCACAAAAATATTAGCAAATATAATCTAGTTATAAAAAGAATATCAATACATCATGACCAAGAAGAGTTTCTATTTAGAACATAAGGTAAACTTTGAAAATTTAAAGATATTTACTATAAAACCTAAAGCAACAAATAAAAATAAAGTTTACAGTTAAAATCAACTGAGATGTAGTCATAAAAAAATACTCCAAAAGCAAGCAGAAAAAGGGAAGCAATAAATAGGTAATACAACAAGATGGTAGCATTAAATATAAACACTTCAAAAATAAATTCTAAATTGTTTGAAAATTCCAATTTTAATATAGTTTATAAAATTGGATTTAAAAAAGATGAAACTATATACTTCAAAATGTGATCTTATCTGGAAATAAGGTAGTTTCAGATGTAGTTAAAATGAGGTCCCTAATCCAGCATGACTGGTATCCTTACAAAAAAGGGAAATGTGCACACAATCATCTACATGGGAGAACACCATGTAAAGATGAAGGGAGAGATCCGGGCGAAGCTTCTACAAGCCAAAGAGCTCCAAATATTGTTAGCAAATCATCAAAAATACGGGAATAGCACAAAAAAGATTCTCACAGCCCTCAAAAGGAACCAACACTATTGACATTTGGATTTTGGACTTCTAACTTCCAGAACTGTGAGACAATACATTTCTGTTGCTTGTTATCAGTTTTTGATACTGTGTTATAGCAGCCCTATAAAATACACTATAAGACACTGTTACAAGATATTAGTCATATAATACAACAACGTTTTAGGTACTTCCATCTCTTCCACTTTATAGATGACAAAACAGAAACACAGAATAGTTAACTTGTTGAACTTGTCCGAGATCACAATTATTAAGCTATAAAGGCAAGACGTGGGAAATGATACAAATGGTGGTAGTCACAGAACAGTACCACAGTGTGGCTATTTCAAATGTCTGTGTGTTCTGATTAGTCAACACCAAAGCTTTGTTCTCTTCTCACACACTCTAAAATCTTCTGGTTATTCCTTTCTGTTTAAACTAGCTGGAGGAAATTTAGTTGGTCTCAACTAGAACTCTGAATGATATATAATGGTACCTCCAGTTAGAAACTGGAGTGCTGAGGGAAGTTGGAAGTACTTACAGAATGTGACAGTGGACAAAGACTCAGAAAACAAATTGATCTCTACTATTTTTTGTATGAGTTCTTGAGTTTACAATGAGGTTGTAAAGGGACTACCTGACAAGTCTGGCCACAAAAATTCCTTCATTCTTACACTGCTCTTAATGGAATTCATTTAGTAAAATCAGTAAGTACACTCACAAATTCAGAACTTGGTAGTAAATATATTTTAAAATAAAACATACTCTTCTGTTATGAACTGAATTGTGCCCCAAAAATATATGTTAAAGTCTTAAACCACCCCCCCATACCTATTAATGTGACCTAATTTGGAAATAGGTTCTTTCCAGATACAAATCAAGTTCAGATGAGGTTATACTAGCATAAACCCTATCCAATGACTGGGGTCCTTATAAGATGAAGGAAATTTGGACATATACATCCATAAAGAAGAATTCCAGGTAAAGACACAGCGACCCACAGGGAAGAAGGTTGTATGAAGACAGAGGTGGAGGATAGAAAAGACACCTCTATAAACCAAGAAAATCCAAGGATTTCCAGCAACCATCAATGCTAAAAGAGGCAAAGGCTGATTCCTCCCCTAGAACCTTCAGAGAGAAGATAGCCCTGACAATACCTTGATCTCAGAATCCTGGTCTTCAGAACTGTAAGAGAATCAATTTCTATTGTTCTAAACCACTCAGTTTGAGGTAATTTGTTAGAGTCATTCTGGGAAACTAATACATCTTCTGTTTTTCCCATCTTCAATCAGGCCACAGTTTAAGCTGAAAGCCTAATCAGTTAACAGAGAATTGAAGTAAAAGAAGTCTCCACATGCAGAGCAGCTGCAGGGCAAGTCATTTAATCTTCTACACAACATTCACTGACCCATTATAAGCAAGTTCTCTTTTTCTCTTACCTGAAGAGCTCTTGAGCTACTAAATATTATTTTCACAATGAATGAATGATGTTTGTAAAGAGGAGTCAGAAAAAATGGAACAAAAAACTATTTGGGCTTGAAGCACAGGCATAGATATTTTGCTTAATAAAATGTAAATCATGTCAATGACCTCTCATTTAACTGTATTCATTATTTCAAAATTCTGTTTATTTCTCTCATCAGCTTCACCTCTTCTTGTAGGATTATACCTTTTTTG